CCTCCCAGAAGGAAAAGAAATCCCAAGTCCAAGCAAGGGGGGTCAGACTTCTACAGACAGGAGGGCCATGAAGAGAGCAGCAGGGAAGCCTTCCACCTGCTCAAGCAAGTGGAGGGAGCAGCGCCTGCCCATTCATGGTCTCTGCCACATAGCCAGTAACTCTTGAGCTTGGGGACCGTGGAGCCTTTCAGGATTCAAACTCACTGAACTCCCAGAGGGACCAACTGATGCTGTTCTTTCAGGCTGGCACCCCCACACAAGGAGTGATGACCATGGCATCAAGGCAAGGATTTCAGTATGTGGAGTGTGGGGAAAAGACCCACCATGAACATTTCAACTGGGCTTTGCAAAAAAGCAACCTGCAGGGGACAATGGCGCCCCTGGGATAGTTTGGATTCCCTCTAAGTCCAACTTTGTAATACTACCAGCTATAACTTGAGAGTGACTTGGCTATGTGTGAGAACCAAAGCTTTTACAGGGATGGGCTCCTCAAGAGCTACTCCAGGCAAAGCTGCTCTTGGTGGAGTCACCCTTCTATTACTCCCTCAATTCAACACCCTCACCCACCTGCAGGTGACAGTGGCCTTAATATTTCTTTCAGGACCCCCCAATAAAATCCAATTCTCCCACCTTGTATTCCTACTAAGGTATGGATGGCTCATAGTGCCTTAATATAGCATTATCCAAGGCATTTTTAATTGCAATCATTAAGCTAGAGCTATAATTGAGCTCCAAAGTAAAATTAACACAGTGACTGGAATGATATTGGATCTCTGTAGTAACTTTAAAGAAATCATAGAAGAGAGGAAAATAAGTAACTGGTTACAGTTACTGGTTCGATAGTTCTACTAATTAGACTAATATTGGATTTGGAGATGACTTCAAGGGTCTTTATTACATCTGAAACATGAAAGGCAACTGTCCTGAGGAGTCAAGGGGTGGCCCATGAGCCCTGGTTCTGCCGTTTGCTAACTGGATAATCTCAGGCAATTCAACAAACTATGAAATGGAGACCATATGGAAGTATGTAGCACAGTGTCTGCAATACAGTAGATGATCAATAAATGTGCTATTGATAGTTCTGAGCCCCAATTAGGCCAGCATTTATATGTCAGAGAAGCTTTGGAGTTACCTGTAACCTTGATATTGAGTGTTGGAATCGGCTACAAAATCAAGAGTCTTTGAGAGCATGGTTTATTGCTTATTTTTTGAACTATTCCCCTTTCTCCTCCTCTGCCTTCCAGTACATTATTGTGCAGTGAATGATCTTAGAAAGCACCCAGAAACCAACCTCGGGCCCAGAAAGCGTGTATGGCTTGTATAAAATCAGAGAAGTAACAAAAGCTGGGACCAGGGTCCAAGGCTTGACTCTTTATTCGGTGCTTTTTTTCAAGACAACACTGGAGCTGGCAAAAAGATATAAAGTGCAATTTTTTAAAGAGGCATTTCCAATGCTATGTTTGGAACAGGAGAAATGAAAGCGATACGCCATTCCTTAGGGCATGGGGTATAATGTTCGTAGATAAGGGTCTTATTTCACCTCAACCTTCCCTATCAGGGAAATTGATCTTTTGCATGATAAAGAGGATGGTCTGAAATAGTTAACAGGTAATTAAGTTTTAAGATAGTTGAGAAGATATAAGGAGAGTACCTAATCCATTTAATTGAATTCAAGCCTCCAGACCCAAAGAAATTCCATTTCAGAATACTGAAAGAACTTGCAGCTGTTGTAACAGGCTCCTGGGAGAGAGAATGATTAGCCACCTTAAAGGAAGGGTTAACTAGCTGCCTGGGGTCAGCAATTATTACAAGACCAAAGGAGATTTCACACCCAAGCCTCCCTGCTCCAGCAGTTTCTACTCTACCAGGTGCCTCTGGCATCTAAACAGGCTAGTTTATTCCTTCATAGAATTAGGGTTTTGAATGATTGCAATAGACTAACATGAAGCAACCAAACCAACAAAATGAAATTTAATCGAGCACATGGTAAATCCTGCATTTAGTATTATCTTTTAATGTGCATGAATACAAAGCTGAGGAAATGTAGAGTAAGAATAATTCATGTTCAAAAGGTTAAGGATCTCGGCTGAGGGGCACCTGGGTGGCAAAGTTGGCTAAACGACCGACTCTTGGGTTCGGTTCAGGTCATGGTCTCGGGGTCGTGGGATTGAGCCCCATGTCGAGCTCCCAACCCTGAGCACAGCACAGAGTCTGCCTAAGATTCTCTCTCTCGAGGCGCCTGGGTGTCTCAGTCATTAAGCGTCTGCCTTCGGCTCAGGTCATGATCACAGGGTCCTGGGATTGAGGCCTGCGTTGGGCTCCCTGCTCAGCAGGAAGCCTGCTTCTCCCTCTTCCACTCCCCCTGCTTGTGTTCCCTGTCTCGCTGTGTCTCTCTCTGTCAAATAAATAAAATCTTAAAAAAAAAAAAAAAATTCTCTCTCTCCCCCCCCTTCCCCCCCCCCCCCCGTGCTTGCTCTCACTCTCTCTCTCTCAAAATAAATAAATCTTAAGGAAAAAAAGGGATCTTGGTTGACTCCAAGCACATCACATATCTTTGTTTGGTACAGATGCCAAACTGGCTAATGAACTCTTGGGAAGCATTAATTGCTCCAAATAAAGGAGAAGAGAGCTACTGTACTTTGGCAGTCAGATCTCATCTATAGTATTCTGTTCAGCTCTGTAGGTGTCCAAGGAAGGGTAAATAAGATGATACAATTCTAGAAGCCATGTCATGTGACAGCTTAAAGGACTGGAGAATGTTCATTTGGAGAAAGGAAGGCTGTTCAGCTTTAGTGACTAAAATATGACAGAAGCCGTTATTTTACTGTGTGGCTTTGTAAGACAGGACTAAGATTAACTACTAGATCAAGGCAAACTTTTATCTCATGTAAGGGAATGGAAACTCATGGTGCTTGAATACCCATCATGGACCTTTTGTTGTGCTAGGTGCTTTGTATTATTTTGTTAAAATCTCTCAGAAACTGATGGATTTGGGGGTGGGGGGAGTAAGCTCCCTGTTGCCGGCAGTCGGGTGTCCAGCTCAGCACTGCTCACATAAAGCAGTAGTGACCCCTCTTCTGCTTCCCAGACTTGGGAATGCCATCCAGGCCCCTCTGGAGCCAGTGTCCTGCTTGAAGGCAGGCTCTCTGGATGACAGAAAAGACCATCTGTGCTTCTGCAACGTGGATTTCCAACACAGCTTCAAGGTTCACTGGATCACTAACTGCAAGCATGGGGCTATGGTGTCCTTATTTTCCTCAGCTCATATTTCTTAGCCAGTCTTGAATGTTGGGATGCTCCCACGTCTACCTAGGATGTGTCTATGGGAAGGGCTGGGCGCTAGAGGAGAACCTGGGATTGTGTGACTGGAGATGGCACAGGAAGTAATACTCTGGGTATACATTTCTTGGCCGGTTGCAGCCATTTTCTTCACATATACCTATAGTCTTAGAATCAATCCTTCCAATGCTGAAACCCTCCAGCCTAAGGAATGCTTCTGGCCAGTGAACAGTATCAGCCAAGGTCCTGGCAGGAACCAGAATTCAACTTGGAGGATTCCAATGAAGAATTTAATGAAGGGACCATTAAAAAGGTATAAGCGTGGAATCCCAGAGGAACTTCAAATGCACTAGGTACACTCCAACGTCAAGGCTGTGTACTTGCTGTGTCCCTCTCAGCTACACCACCACCTCCCCATTTCCCAAAGCCCCCGCCATCCACATGGCTTCCTCATCTCATTCAGGTCTTGGCTATCATGCTACCTTCTCAAGTGAGCATTGTAGCTGCTGCTCCTCATCATTCCCTTCCTCCTCCCCCACCTAACTTTTTATAGCACCTAATATCGTCTGACATTTCTATATTTTAATTATTGATTATTTGCCTCTACTCAGAAGAATCTGTGCAGAGATTTTTGTGTGTTTTGTTCATTGCCATAATCCCAGTGCCTAGAACACTACCTGGTCCAAGGAAGAATTTCAACAAGCATTTGTTGAATTGATGAATACTAGTTGTTATTTGTTAAAGCTCATAAAGAGAACTGTCCAAAAGTGACAACTGATCCATCTTTTTGCTTCAACTGGGCTAATCCCATTCCTGCCCTTTTTGGGGAAGCCCGCTGAAACGCAAGAGCTTTTATATGGCCACAAGAGGGCGCCGTTGATCAGTTTTTCATTTTTAAAAAGTCCTTCTGAGACCCTTCACCCTCTCCTCCCCAGACCCCAAAAGAAAAGATGGGGCAGGGTCATGTCTACAGCCAAAGCAAACACAGTGTATCTCTACCATTCCAACATTGCTGTGCAAGTGAAATGCAGTTAAAACCTGTGTCAAGAATGGTCTCAAAAGGACAAAAGGTCATCAGAAAGCGAGAGCCTGAGGCATGTGTAGGAGGAAGGAGATGCCAAATCTGCAAGGAGCATTCAGAAGAAGGCAAGTGAAGCTGTCTCAGGTCCGGAGGGATCAGAGGAGACATTATGGGAGAGATGGCATTTGAATTAGGATTTGAATGATAGGAATGATAGGTAGGTGCAAAATTGTGTTTTGCTGATTTTACACACTACCTTTTATATGTCGCTTGAATTTTAGGGTAATTTTCTTCTCAGTTGAGAATGAGTAACCATCTGTGTACATGGGGAAAAAAAAGGTTAGCTTTTTAGGACATCCACTCCTATAATACATGGTGAAATATAAAAATAAAAAAGCTTTAGGAAGGACAATGGGTTGTTAAAATATTGGCTGAAAGCACGCCATATATCCACCTCATGATTCCTCAATTGAATAGCCTTTGTACCCACCCCAGAGGACGTGAAGAATGTTACAAATGAAGACATGATTTTTTTTCTACTGTTTCTTCAGTATGGAGCAGGGAATGGAAGTTCTGGGGGAGGTTTTCTTACCTCTGAGTGCAGCTTTTCTCAAAACAGGTGGAAACTGTGAATGTTTAATGAGGCCGCAGGACTCACAGACTGAATTCACAGACCAACACAATGAACACTGGTCAAACATATTCTTTATTTAAAACAGAGCCACTGCAAAGAGAAAGCAAGGGAATAGAATGAAATGAAGGGGTCAGATGTCCAAGCCAAGGTTCCCACTTGCTTCTTGGCTCACCACCAATTCAGGGCTACAGTCACGTCCCCCTTTTCCACTGGGTGCCGTGTGGAGCCCCCCACGTTGCTTCGGATTAATGCGGTAGGACTTCTTCCACCTCTAGAGTGAGGAAGGGAAATAAGACCTCCCTCAGCCTCTTCAAGGTGTCCCTGCTCATTACCATGGGTAGGGCATCCACAAGAAGGTCTGGGTTTATGTACTGCAGGTGGAAAAGCGCATAACCCAGCAGCCTAATGAAGATCATGACCATGAAGACAAGGCACCTGAAATGCCTGCAAAGAGACATTCTTGGTTAGCAAGGGGGACAGGGACAGCCCAGCATTCAGCTGTAGGAGGTGAAGCTCACACTCATAAATAACTGAATTGCTTTCTTCAGGCAAACCTGATGGAGAAGGGAGACCCAAAGAATGAGGGTAGGGGATAGGCGGTTGCAGAAAAAGATCGATGTAGTAGTTAGCCATTGCATAAGGCTCTCCTGACATGTAAGCCCTCTGACAGAATAGATGTCCATATAGAAAAAAATTGGAGATGCAAAAGGAGATTTTCCAGGTACTACATATGCAGCAGGCCTTTTGGGGGTTGCCAGAAAATGTTCAGGACTGTCACACCTATGAGTCTCATGACCAGTGGTCCTCTTCTGGTCTACTATAGCAAGAAGTTCTAGAATTTGAAATAAGATTGGGACATCTCTGACATGATGTCCAGGCAAAATCATTAGGATAGATTTTTTTTCTAAACATCAAGTGTCAAAAGAGACCAAGTTAAACAATAAAATATGTGTGTGTGTGTGTGTGTGTGTGTGTGTGTGTTGTGTGCTCCCAAGAAAATTTCACACTGAAATCTTGTCTAAAGCCTTCAGTCTTTAATTATATTGAAATGGCATAAATTGAAGCTCTTCACTAAAGTGCCACATGGAGCATTTCAGAGTTAGTCCCCTTGTTTCAAAAATTAAGACGAAAAGGCATAGAGAGTTTAGGTGATTTTTGTTTTCTAGAATGTTCAGCCTATGGTAAAAGAACTGAGAAAATTAATGAGCCCTGAACCATCTTCTCAGCAAAGAGTATAGTGGAGATTATCAGGTTCGGGATCTGAAAAATAGAAAGGGGTCATACCAAGAACCATAAGAATGGAAATGCAAAGTAAAATGAAACCTGCAGCCTTCATCTTGAAGAAATAGCTACTTTTTCCAACAAAGTAAAATGCAACCTACAGCCTTCATCTTGAAGAAATAGCTACTTTTTCTGCGTATCTCTGGTGTTGTGGAAAGGAAGGAAAGAAGAGTTGGGAGGAATCTGGGGCTGCCTGATTGTTTTCTGGCTGGTGGGTGTATTCATCCTTATTCCTTATACCCTTACCAACTCACTCGCTCCTAGAGAGTGAGTGTGGCCTAGACTGGGTAAAAACCAAGATTCTACCACTTACCTGTACCAAAAGATTCTCTTCTGTTTCTTAATGATGGTCTTCTCCTATGGGAAGCAAGAAAAGCCACAGCTGTGCCTGTCTGTGTAGTGACAGACAGGCAGTGTAGTAGGGTACCAAGAGCCACCCAGGAGTCAGGAGTCAGGCTGCCTGGATTTGAATCCTGACTTTGCCACTTCCTAGCTGCCATAGTATGGAACGAGGTACCAAACTTCATTATGTCCTAACTCTAGGTTTATTACAAAGGGGAGAGGATGCAGGGAGCAAGGAGAGAGAAGCCAGGGGAGGGAGGGATAAAGGAACACTCCAGTGTGGGACAAGGAAGACTTACCATGTTGCTTTGGATGGTCTCTACCAGAATTGACCCAGGTTTCACGATTTGGGAAGAGTTGTTCTGGGCTTTGAATCTGGGTGAAAAAAATCGGATCCAAGAATGATATAACATAATCTGGGGGGCTGATGAAAGGTGCTTTTCTAAGTCATGCAACATCAATGATTTATTTCCCAGATTCTTGATAGCATTCACAGGGTTCAACATTCAAAACTCATAACTGCTCAACATACAGAGATACCAGGAAACTGTGGTCCGTTCTCAAGGGAAAAGACAATCAGTGAAGAATAACCCTGATGTAACCCTGATGTTGGGTTGAAACTGCAGAAAGTCTCACACATACCTGGTCACCTGACTTATAAAACAAGGCACCACTGAAAATGCATGTTCTCTTAAATAAATGGTGCTGGGTCAATAGGCTCTCCACACAGAAAACCATGATCTTGATCTCTACCCCACACCATAGAAGAAAACAAATTACAGATGAATGCGAATCTAAGTACACAGTAAAATAATAAAACAAAATGGTAGGGGAAAGCATAAGAGAATAGTTTTATGACCTAAAGAAAGGACTAAGCAAAAAAACAAAAGTCAAAAACTCCAGAAAAAAACAAAAATTGGTCTGAGAAGCCCTTTGCCCTTCCAAGACATCCCAGGGACTGTCACTGCAGTCTAACAGGGACATAATTTTTCCAAACTTACACTTCTTTTTCAAGAAGCATCACCTCTTTTTCCTTTTCCATCTGCCTCAGAATTTCCTGGTATTTCTTCCCATGGAAACAAAAAGAAAAAATTGTTATAATGAAGAATTTCCCCATATTTCATTACGATGTCATTGATGATTCTCCTGAGACTAACTCCTAATACTCCAAATGGTGCATGCGTGAGTGTGCACACATGAGTAGGGAAATATTCTAATAAAAATTGGGAGATACCAGGACTAGATGGATATATCTGAAAAGAGAAAAAAGAGTTCTCAGTTTGGCTTCTGCTTGTATTCAAGTCCCAGTTCTGATGCTTACTGTCGTGTTCCCAGAGCACATTACCTAACTCCCCTAAACCCCAGTGTCCTCTTGACTATAACAATATCATCCCCATAGTTTTACTGGACAAATTAATGTAGAAAAATACTGTATGTTGAGAGTTTACAAATACTGTACGTGCCATTGCCTGGCACAAAGTAAATCCTTAACATACATCTGTTTTGTTGTTGTTGCTATTGTATAAAAGACATTTTCCCCGGTGGCAGATTTTAGCCCAATGAGAAACCAAGGAACCCATAGCTTTGGAGAAATTCTGCCTCTTCTCTGACTTGCCCCTGCCGGCAACATACCTTTATGTAGTGGGCCTGGTCCTCACAGAGCTGATGCAAAGATTGGTAGTCGCTCTCTATCTAGAAAGAAGAGAAAATCAACAAATCTCATCAGAACCAAGCCTCAGCTGCTCCTGGGGACCCTAACTGGTGCATTGGACATGTGGCTGGTTACCAAACAACTTATAATTTTAAGGGAAAACAAGCATATCACAAAGCAGTGATCTCATCATTCAGGGGCACAGTATAATTTTGAGCGAAACAAAATTTTTTTGCCAGGTTGTCGTATGCCTGTCAGGTGAAACATCAGGAGAGGTATCAGAGCACTTGGGTTTGGGATGCAGCAATAGTATTTTGAAGGGGGTGTAAAAGGGTGTTTAAGAAATGGTAAAACCAGTACTTCTAATACAAGCTTTCTTGCCCTTCACCTGTATGTGAATCAGAAATTCCTCTGCCAGTTGTTCCTGCCACTCCCCCCTCCCATGCCTCCAGCTGTCCTGTTTCTAAGACTTTGGGGTGTTCTCCCATTTAAATCCTGGCCAGACCCTCAGTGAGGAGACACTGCCTCTACCTTGAGCAGTTCCTTCTCTTGCTTTGTGCAGGACTCTGTTGACTTTTGTAGTCTGACCTGGAAGACAGCAGAAAGTTCTTAGCATTCTTTTGTGGAAGGCAAATGGGTAATGAGCACCCTCTCTCCAGACCAGCAAGGAACATGATAAAAATGGCTATCATGTCTTGAGGGATTGAGGACACATTTTCGCAATCTGGGATGGGCACTGTCATTAGCCCTATCTGATAGATGGGGAGACAAAGGCAAGAAGTTAAGTGCTTAGCTTCTTTAAAAGTCACATGGTGGTACAGCTGACATTTGAGCCTTGGTCATCTGACTGCCCAGTCTCTGAGCCTTACCATCCTCCTTCCTCTAGCCTGACTGACCAAAACTCACAGGCCTCTTTCTCCTCTCATCTTCCAGAGGGTACACTCCCATAAATCTGCAGAAAGTTTCCCAACAGGATTTCTGTCCTCTCTGGGGCATCCTGTTCATTCACTCAACAAATATTGAGCATCTACTTTGTGCCAGGCACTGTTCTAGGCACTGGAGAAATAGGAGTGAACAATATAGACCAAAACTCTCGCCCTTATTGGGTTTACCTTCTCATAGAAGACAAAGATAAACTACATTTTATTTTATTTTATTTATTTTATTTTTTTAAGATTTTTATTTATTGAGAGAGAGAGAGAATGGTAGAGAGAGAGCATGAGAGGGAGGAAGGTCAGAGGGAGAAGCGCGGGACTCGATCCCGGGACTCCAGGATCATGACCTGAGCCAAAGGCAGTCGCTTAACCAACTGAGCCACCCAGGCACCCTAGGTAAACTACATTTTAAAAAATTAAACTTTTTTGGACTATAAGCCATGGGTTGGAAAATGAGATAAGATTATTGACACATTGCTGTATAATTATGGAAGTTCGTATTCTCATCTTACCTGAATATCCATATTTTTTTTTAAAGATTTTATTTATTTGAGAAAGAGAGAGAGAGAAAGAGAGAGAGCACAAGAGTGGGGAGCGGGAGAGGGAGAAGCAGACTCCCTGCTGAGCAGGGAGCCCGAAGCAGGACTCAGTCCCGGGACTCCAGGATCATGACCTGAGCCGAAGGCAGTCGCTTAACCAACTGAGCCCCCCAGGCACCCCTGAATATCCATATTGTGTGTCATTCAGACCCTAAGCTTCTTGGCCGGTTCCTGATGTGCCTTCAGCATGTATGTTCTAGTGACTGGCGGGTGATGAGGTCTCGAGCAATCCCCTCTACTTTGATGACATTGAAGTGACCTCTGCAGTTACTTGACTAATCATGTTATGAATGCCCCACAGGCCATGAGGTAAAGGAGAGAGAACAAAGACATTGGCTCACCTCTGAGAAGTACACAAACATACCTAGCCTGGGAGAGTCCTTGAAAGTTGTTCCTCCTGAACCTAGACTTGACACACATCTCCCAGAAAGTCTCTAGGTTTGCTCTTCTACTCACCTTCAGTTCTGCCAACATCTGCTTTAGGGTTTCTTTATTAAGGCCATCATTCTTATGTCTCCTTGAAATCTGAAATACCATCCCCAAAACCATGAACTGAGTGAGGCACACAGACATCAAAAACTGGGATAGTGGCCAACTTTGGGGTCTCGGGGCTATGGAATGGTGGTGGTTAATGAACTTAGATCCCAGGTAGAAGCTTCTGATAGAAGAGTGTCTCCTTCTTGCTCATGGGAACTACCTGACTCCAGGCTGGCTGGAAAGACCTTTTTGCTCCCATAGGCCGTGAAAACAACTGCCCAGGGAGCAAGGAGGAAGGGGAGGGGGGCGCAGAACAGTTGCGGGGAGGGAGGGAAAAATCTTTTCTCCTATAGTCAGTCCCTTAGCTCTCTCAGCAGATCTGTAATCCAAGGGAACAAATGGGTGTGTTCATCAGAGTTTGTCCTAAGTGGGTGGCAGAGGGGAGGAAGCACACCCATTTAGCCGGTTGCTCCTTCTTGGGTCTTTCTGACTAGAGAGTTCAGGAGTTCAGACGATTCTGTCAAGATTCCTAAAAAATCAGCCTCCTTCAAGGGGGGACTACCTTACCTTCTTCTGAAGCTCCACCACATTCCTGCTCAGAATCTTGTTACTTTTCTCCTGTGGAAAGGAAGGAGTAAAGGGGATACACCTGCTCTGTTTCTGTACTTTCCCTCTCCCGGGTCTCTAAAATATGGTCTGGGGATGAGTGTATTGATGGGGAAAAGGACACTGTGGCCCCACACAGAGGAAATGGGAAGACAGCCAACACCTGGGGCCCCCATGCCAAGCGCTTCATTCTCAGAGCACTCTCGTCTGATTTCTCCAGATGTAGCAAGGACCATGGATGATGATCCCCTGGCAAAGAGAGAGCAGCAGCAGACTGCAAGCCAAATATGTCACAAGGTCCTTTTCTAGACACCTTCTTACCAGCTTTGCTGTCTCTGATTCCAGGTTCCTCAAGGTTTCCTCCTTCTCTGATGCAATATGGTTCAACTCCTCCCTCTCGTTGGCTTGTGCTAGTGACAAGGCAGTCTCTCCTTCCAGACTGAAAAATACGGACACCCAGATGTGGATCACTCATGAGGACACTGCCAGTGCCCCAGCTTAGGAAGCCAAGGTCTTGGGGCAGTGGGGGCTGGGTGCTATACTGATTGCCAAATGCAGTGGCAATACAACGTCAGCCTCATGTGGAAATTTAATGCAAGAATCTCTACGTAAAGCCTCTGGGACATCACAGTTCATGGTTCAGAATTTAACACACCAAGATTTATCAATAAAAAAGGAAACCTTCCTCCCAGCTTCTCTTTATTCCAAGGGCCGTTCTGTTGAGGAGGAGCCCTTCCCTCACCAACTGCAAAGCCTGACCTTTGAATAGCTTCTTCCTTCTCTTGAATTTTCCTGAGAAGAACTTGATTTGCCTCATCCAGTCTCTGCAGGTCCTTTTCAAGGTCTGAGTTCAGATAGTCAAGGTTTTGTTTTGTGACTTCTAATTTCGGTATTTCCATCATCTCCTGCCTACAGGAAAATCAGCTTTCTTATTGAGCTCAGGACAGGAAAACAGAGGAGCCCTAAGAAGGTTTCCCTGGGATCATGACCTGAGTTGAAGGCAATCGCCTAACTGACTGAGCCACCCAGGTGCCCTTCAAATCACATTTTAATTTTAAATATTGTAAATGGAACCCATTAAAACACAAAACTTTTATAAAGCAGAAGAAAATTTTTTTTCATATGAACAATTATGCTCCAACTTACTTATTTTTTAAAAATTTTTATGGAGTATGTGGAATCCAAGCTACACCTATAAAGCATGTAAAGATCTGCCAGGATGAGGGGATTTCTTCAGTACCTTTTGTTACAGTCTCCTGAGGAGTTTATGCTGCGTATTTTCTACCCCAGTCAAGTAGGCCCACAGGCTGGGTCGGGGGCAGGGGTGGGAGTGGATCTTTTCTCCAAATCTGACTGACTTGCTTTTTGAGGCCTTAGCTATTTCTAAAAACCCTACCATTAGTAACATGAGGAAGTCCAAAGATCTGAAACTAAAGTCTTTTCTCCCCTGGAAGGCCCCCGGGCCTGAGGAGATAATGTCCTGCATCATGGAGCTTCTCTTCCTTACTGGATTGGGGCACATCCTTCCCATAGCAGCTCCTCTACTGAACTTTATCATCTTTATTACTTACACATCATCCAGCGGGTCCTGTCCAGCTACTTCCATTGTGGGTTTCCTAAAATGTTAACACACACATTTATTATAGAAACGTAGCCCCTAATGCCCAACATAGTAACAGTTGCCTCACACTAGCGCAGGAGGGAGCAGGCAAAAATTTGACCAGGCAAGACAGAGCTGAGAAGAGACCCATGCCTCCTAGACCCTCCTGTTTACCAGCATCACCTGCAATGTTTTACTAAATTCCGGTAATCCAGCTTGTGTTTCAACTTCAAATTGCATAAGTGAATCCCACTGGAGTACAGAAATCTTGTTTTCACAGTTTTTCACATTTTCGCTACTTTTCCCTTTCCTGGCCTGCATTTGTCTGGTCACAGGTAAAGCACTAAGGGCACTCAAGCTTATGTCTTTTGGCAAATGCACTGAGAGTTTATTTCTAACCCAGATCTCCAGGGAAACTTAGGGGGAAAAATAATAGAGAATAGCCAGAGGGTGCCATAAAGCTGGCTGCCTGATTTCTAGGTCTATTGCCATATGAGTTCTAACAAGTTCTAGATATCACAGGCTGAGTCGATTCTGAAATAGCAGCAAAAGCAGTGGAGTGGACAGCAGGATACACCTACCAACAGGAAGAAACAAATGTTGGGCTCCTAGGGACAGTGTCTCCTAACCGTTGCCCCAAGACTAAAGTTCAGGACTGAAACCAATCTAAGAAAAGTAGAGTTCCACACTCCCCTCTCCTTTCATGTGCCAGCTTCTCTTTTTTTTCTCTTTCCTCTGAAGCTTTTCACCTTTAATTCTCTTTTTAATTCCTTCTCGCACCTCCTTCCCCTTTCATCGCTCCCCTGCATTTTTCCTGCTTTCTTTACACACAAGGCATCCCAGCCTTTGATGATGCCCTCCACACTCACCCTTCTCTTCCCCACTGAGATTTCTTTAGTTCCCACTGAGATTTCCAACCGATTGTCAGAACTTTCAGGAAAGGTATCTCCTTACTGATTGAGGCCTCCACATATCACCAGACCTGTCCTCTCCAGCGGGGTGGGGCAGCATGTCATAGTGGGTAGGGGTGGGGGACAGCAACAACTCCACATCACCCCTGTAGGCAGCATGGGAGCAGAGTTCAGAGCTGCAGGGCAATTGAAGTCTCTTTCCTACACAGCGGTAAGATCTATGGAACACATTTCTGGACACAGGGTCAGTCCCTTCTGAGATGGCAGTCAGCTCTATGGAACACGTTTCTTCATGTCCCCAAGCCCCTAGGCCCAGTGGCCGTTGAGATCACTCTCTCTTCCTTCTTCAACTCCTTGTGATACGTGTGCAGCCTGCTGCACCCAAATCCAAATTACACATTTCTCTTGAAGGCATCCGAGAGCTATGGGCCATGGGGTAGGAAGGTCTGAGAGCAGGCCCAGAGGAATCAGAGATATCTTCTCTATGGGCCAAGCAAGCCCTCCTTCTCACCAAGTTGGATTCTTGGAGCTACAAAAGAAATTCCTTTATTTTCCCTGAACTGGCACTGCCAACACATGGGGAAAGAAAGGTCTGATGTTTCAAAGATGGAGTGGAACAGGAAGGAGGAAAGAGGAGTGTTAGGTCCCGAAACCTGATTCCACTGCCTCCTCCCTCAAAATTCCTCCTCATTTTCTGAGGTGTTAGGTTACTGGAGCACTAGATGGGATTTCACACGCCAGTGTCACTCTGCTAGGCAGTTCTGGATTCTCTGATTGAGAAGATGAGGCAGTATGCAGAACTGGAGAGAGATTAGTGAAGGTGTGTACTTGGATTTCAGATCTGTCCCTTGCTGTCCCTTACACTCCAATCACTCCTCCATGATGTCAGTGTAACCTTTCCCAGCAGAACTGTGCTAATCTCAAGTCCCTGGAAAGGCCTTCCAGAACATACCACTGCCTCTCCAAGAAAATAACTCTCCCACACAATAATATCTGTCATTTAATTGTATCCATCCTTCTCAGCTCAATTCAAATGCTGCTACTTCCACACCTTCCCAGATACCTTGCCTCCAAGCCCAGCAGAACGAATCCCTCCAACCTCTGTTCTCCTCTTTTGGTATCTTATATTGTTTTTAGGAATGTGTACGCACTGGTCTTTATTCCACAGTTAGGCTAAAAACCCCTTGAGGGAGCACCTGGGTGGCTCAAATGGTTGGGCGTCTGCCTTCTGCTCAGGTCGTGGTCCCGGGGTCCTGGGATTGAGTTCCGCATCGGAATCAGACTCAGCGGGAAGCCTGCTTCTCCCTCTCCCTCTGCCTCTCCCCCTGCTCATGTACTCTCTCTCTGTCTTGAATAAATAAAATCTTAAAAAAAAAACCAACCCTTGAGAGAGTGTGCTTTAATTGAAGCCATTTTTTTTAAAAACTCTTTTTTTTTAAAGATTTTATTTATTTATTTGAGAGAGAGAGAGAGAGAATGAGAGATAGAAATCACGAGAGGGAAGAGGGTCAGAGGGAGAAGCAGACTCCCCGCTGAGCAGGAAGCCCGATGTGGGACTCGATCCCGGGACTCCAGGATCATGACCTGAGCCGAAGGCAGTCGCTTAACCAACTGAGCCACCCAGGTGCCCCTTAATTGAAGCCATTTTGATTTCCCTCCCCAGTTGAGCTCCAGGAGAGCCGTGTACATAGAATCCATTGGGGATAGTACCCCCTGGAGTTGTTGAAGAAGGGGGTGGCTTCGAAAATGGAGAGTGGAAATAGGCTGGGTAGGGACAGAGAGCACCTGAGTGTCATTCCATCCTGGCATTTCAGAGGTGTGTTACCTTGGGCAAGTTACTCTCTGAGCTCAAGTCTTCTGACCTGTGAGATGGGCATTATTCCTACTTCACGAAGTTGTGGTGGAGATGAAATGAAATAATATATGTGAAGCTCTTAACACTGTGTGTGGCACACAGAAGCACTTAATTCCCCTCCATTCTCCCCCACAGCACATGCTCCATTTTTCTGTCTATTACCTTCGCACATGGTGTTATGCTGAATGTTTTTAGAAGAAGTGAATGAATAAATGACTCCTTCCACTCCCTTTATCTAGAACAGGTGTTCTCCTCCCTTTCCTTCTTACACCTGAGAGGCTCTCACCTGTACACCCCAATTAGTACACTGTCATTAGCAGCACAGCGCACAATAGCAGAATTCTTGACAGACGACCCTGACCCCTGTGAGGCTGATCCATGGTCATCAGGGATGCAGTCTGAAAGCTTCTGCCCAATGTCCCAGAGCAGTAGGTACCTGTGCTTGAGAATCACTGATGAAGAACAAATTCTTTACACCAAACTGCCTCGCTCTTTTCTGTAAAGACACTGCACAAAATCACCCTCTCTATGAACTCTTCCAAAGTGAACCCTTCTTAGCTTATTGCCCCAAGGAGACAACATGACTTTGGAAATGACCATGTTTTCCTTTTTGTTTTGACACTAAGAAGCAAAAACACCACATTTGAAGCCCCCAATTTTCGCGAATGTACTGGACATTGTGGCCTATGTATCTTTCCCTTAGTCCTATTCTCCTATTCATTTTTCATGTGATTCTGATTTTTAACTTATTTTCCACTATTTTGTATTAAATAGATTGTTCCATATGATACAGCTATAGGTAAGTAAACATGGACATAGAGTTATAAATAACAGCAAAGAGATAAAGATCTGAGAGGGGTAGTGTGTTTGGGTGTCATGGGTAACAACATTGGCTATGGAATCAGACCACACTGACTTTGAATACCTGCTCCACCAGTTCCCAGATATGAGGTCTTGGACAAGTTATTCAACCCCTTGGACTTCAGGTTTCTAATTAGTAAAGTGTATTTGGATCGTTCTATGGCATATAAGATACTTCGAAAGTGTGGGTCCCATAGATATAAACTTTTTTTTTTTTCTCCCCCACTCCTAAATACAAACTTTTAAGACTAGGGACCATGTGTTCTTGTTCCTTGGTTTATCTCCATACAGTGTGTAACCTGTGCATGTGAAACACTCACTGTGAATACATACTGAAATTCTTTCTTCATCTAGTTCTATTCATATCATCCTAGCAAATAGAAAGAATGGGATCAGGGCACCTGGGTGGCTCAGTCAGTTGAGCATCTAACTTCAGCTCAGGTCATGATCCTGGGGTCCTGGGATTGAGCTCTACATCAGGCTCTCTGCTCAGCCGGTAGTCTGCTTCTCCCTCTGCTGCTCCCCCTGCTTGTGCCCCTCCCATTCTCTCTCTCTGTCAAATAAAAAGAAAAAATGATATCATGTGTATCAAGATGATAAAGACTTTTTGACACCTCTGTTTTTAAAAATTAGTCTAAAAACAGTAACTAGTTGGATTTCCTATGGCCCTCCCAACACCTAGCACTTCTGATGACTCCCTGGGGAGCTCTAAGCTTCAGCAGTTTAGGAAAACAAAGATTTGATGGCTCCTACTTACTGTTTTGAGTTCCTATTTTTATTCTCAACAGCTTAGTTTTATTGAGAATAGCTCCTGTTTTGTTCCAGTACCTGAGGCTATAGATGAGGCCTGTGCTAATTTGCATGGCTGCAGAATTCAGTTTTAACCTTTTTGCTAGAAATCCCACAAGTCACAGGGTTTGTGTCATTATGCTATTTTAGTTCTCTACAAATATCGCATCATGGCAAGACAAATTGTTGCAGTGTCAGGAATTAACTCTGTTTTCTGATGAAGGAGAATTACTTTTCAGTCAGTGCATTGTATACCTGGAAGAAGATACAAAATTTGATTTAATATGTGTTTTGAAGACCTTATATTCCTTGCTTTCCATACAAATATTTTAAAATTTTAATCTTTTGAGATTTAGAAGAGATGCACTTATTTTGCATTTTGTATAACTTTTCATAACATGAAGACTACGTTGTCAATCAAAACTAATAGAATAAAATAAAAATTTCCTATGTCATAAGAGGGAGTTGTTTAGAAGGTAACAGTGGAACTGTACAGTTGGTCATCAAAGTTTATAATACCAGGATGGAAATATAATGAATGGCATCATCACCAAAAAAAGAAAAAATACCCTGTCCAATCCATCATGATAAAAAACTTTTCTTATGATATTCTTAACATCTGGGAGGGATCTACCTACTAAGAATTCCTGGATTATTTTTAGAACACTGGGTCATTTAAGATAAAAATAATGCCAACAGTAGATTCTTGAAAACTCTAAAATCTTGCTCCTACTCTGTAATGCAACCTATAGTAGAGTGTGTTGAAAATTCTGCTGGTGTCCTGCCTCTCCTATTAGGTGGATTCATTGAAAAAATGAAAAATTCAGTTAGATAATTTTTGGTATGGCCTAATATTTTATGTGTAGCAACAAGACTTTTTTTTAATAACACAGTAATTTCTGTATAAGCAATAATCTTCTATGCTGTCAGTGGGTTGTAAATGGGCACAATAACCATGGAAAACAGTTTAGAGCAAACATCCACTTTGGCCAAACCACTTTTGGAAAACTGTGAATGGCAAAACAGACAATACACCTATCCTACTGGCCAGCAATCTCACTATAAAATATACTCTAAAAAAATCTCTTGTGCATATACCCCAGGAGAGATTGTACAATAATTTTTACACAGCACTGTTAATAATAGCAACCCAAATCTGTCTGTCCATCAACAGTAGAGTAGAGAAATAAGTTGGGATATATAGCAGAAGAAATAACTTACCTTTATACTCAATAACATGATTAGATTCCCCAAACATACTATTGACCAAAAGAGGCAGGATGTATGCATTCTAAGTTGAGATATATCAAGTTCAAAGCAGATTAAACTGAACAATTTGTTTTAGAGTACCTATGTAGAGAATCAACCTGTTAAGAGAAGCAAGGGAATAATTTTCACAAAATTCCCAATAGTGTTTAATATTCTGGAGGAGAGAGGGGAAGAGATCAGGATTGGGTACAGGAGGCTTTTGGAGTATATTTTGCTTTCTGGCCTGGGTACATGAGTGTTGACTATTATTCCTTAAACACTACACATGTGTTTTGACCCT